GTTGCAGTCCCTCCCCAGGCACCTTTTGGTTATGGTTATACCGCACCACCGTATGGACAGCCACAGCCTGGCTTTGGGTACAGCATGTGAGATGAAAAGCTGATCCTGTAGTCTCCTATTTTCATACTGAAATATCGCCTGTACCAACTTCTCAGTTTATAAATGGGGAAAACAGGCAACGTGTACTTGTAACCTTTATTTCATGAAGGACTACTTTTTTGTTTCTAACTATAAACTTGGATCATCTATGTTAAACCTTATTTCACATTCCACATCATTTTAGAATTTATTTTCAAAGGGGAATAGTATTCACGTGGGCTTCTTTCTTCCCCTTCATTCTTTGAAGAACTGCTTAATATTCAATCTTTTGTGAAGATCCTGATTTGCACTCTGTAGTGTTTAAAGAAGCAAGCTCTAATACTGAATCTCTTAAATTTAGTGTATGTAAACAGCTTATAATACGTATTGTCTAAATGCATTTAAATCTCTTTTACTCGAAGGAAAGCTAAAGTGAAAATACTGGTATGTGACCACACGAGACTGTCATTGCCAACACAGACAACACTAATCAGCATATCCTACATTGGATTGCAGTGCTCTCCAAATTATTTGAAAAATGCATACAAACAACTTGACTGATTTTTAAATGAGCATAAAAGGCCCTCTAACCTATGCAGGTTTCCCCATTACGCCTATAGAAAATGCTAGTGTTTTGCTCACTTCGTATGTAACAGGTGCCCTTATGTTGTGCTGTATCCTGTGCTTTTTCTGTGGGACCATTCCATTCAGGAACAGAGCACCATGATTCCAATCTTGTGTGTATTTACTAACCCTTCCCTGAGGTTTGTGTATGTTGGATATTGTGGTGTTTTAGATCACTGAGTGTACAGAAGAGAGAATTCAAACAAAATATTGCTGTTCTTCAGTTTTGTCTGTGGAATTTGAAATTACTCCAATTTAAAATAAACCACTGGACTGTGGAAATACATGTAGAATTGCAGTTTTAATTAAATACCTCTCAAACCAAAACGACGGTTTCAGTAGTTTCATATTGGATACTGAGGTGCAGTACAAGGAAGCAGAAGAGGAATAAGGATTGGGACTGTGAAGTTATTATGCACTGTGTTGTGTACAATGCTGCAGTTAATAATGAATGTGCAACAGTACCAGCATCTGGTTTGAAAGAACCAGTCACTACATTAGAGGGCAACATTTCCTGTCTCCAAACCCTTTAATAACCAAGTGGCACTTTAGGTTTTTATCTAAGCATTTCACTTAAATAAATCACAGGTGTTAACTTGTATTGACTTGAAATAAAAGTATATTTTAAAAAGTAGTTAACATGCTGTTTCTCATCATGAACTGCAAAGGTGCCCAGTTATTTGGTAGTTAATGTTGGTTTTTAAAAAAACTAGTGTGTGACTCCAAGTACTGTGCTTATGAGTGTCACTTTTAAGTTCATTTCCCCATCCCTCAGTTGTCAGTTAACACAGTCCCGTCTAGTCTTGCACAGCTTTACAACTCTTAGGCAAATTACCGTAAGCACCACAGAAAGGTTTTTATAAACTTAAAACCCCTGCACCCTTCCCACTTAATGCCCCTTACTGTCTGTAAAGTATTGTTAACAGGAAAATTCTTTTTGGTTTATCTCAGTGAAAGCATTTTGCTGTTCAGGCCCTAGCTGCACTGGGTTCCCAATCTCTGCTCCCTTTCATTATCAAATCAAGAGGAAGAAAAGTAATGGTCCCTGGGAACTTGTGCTTTTCAGTCAAGAGTTCTCCTAGGACCAGTAGTGGCAAACCTATGGCATGTGTTACTGTGTTTCTCCTGCCTTAAAGTATTGTTTTTCTAAATTAAAACCTCAGTATTCGGGTTTAATTGCAGTGTTGGTACTTTGCAATAAATAAGGTTTGGCTTGCAGTTCAGTACTTGGCCCATTAAAAGGTTTGCCATCACTGGTCTGTATAAAAGTAGGTCCAAGACCTAGTCCTTTCCTATACCTCAATTAACTGATTATCAGTGGAATTATTTTGTTCTTTTCCCTTCCCCAATAGGAGCAACTTAAAATACTATGTTTTTTTTACAGTTTAAGAATTGTTTCAACAACAACAACAAAACCCTTGGTTCAATTATATACTGTATCACATGACACTGACTTACTACTAAAACCACCCAATATGGACTACACTAGAAGCAGAAACCACTGTGACATATGACAGGTGCAAGACCTCAATAACCTGAGCTTCTGAGTTTGTTTTCTTACCTGTATATTAACACTAAGTACTTTTCAGAATTATTTAGCAGATTTTGTTTAAATCACAAAATGCCTACCTCAAGACTGGGTAATTTTATGTATACAATAGGTAGTGACTTGGTAATAAACTTATTTTAAGCCAAAGATCTTCCCTAACACATACTACTGTTGATGGTCTAAGAGAAGGAACTGAAAACAGGAAACCAGTACAAGTGAGCAAAAGGAGATTAACAAGCTTTCAGTTATCGTCTTATCCTGTCCAAATATAGCCCCTATATATATAAGTATCACACATCTGTGATACTTGTTAACAAGTATTTCAACAGTTATTAATACAGCAAGAGACTGCTAATGACCAGGTAGTGCTGCTTGACTTTCTGTAATGAAGTTGAGCACACGTTCTCATTCTGATCCTTTATACTCTCAAATTACTGAAGATTGCCAAAACTCTAGTTTGTCCTTTATATCTATTGATGTTTACTATTACTAGAAACTAAAACGGATTTTTTAAAAGATACTAATTTAAATATAGTAACAAGCTACACTGCATGCCATTGGTTATATGAAAAGTACTGACTTACAGATGTTGCTTTTCCAAATGTTAATTTCATTAAGGTTGTATTTGTGAGGAACACTGGTATCAGAAAAGTTTTGTTGTTTTGTTTTTGGCAGCACTGGAGATTGAACCCAGGGCCTTGTGTATGCCAGGCAGGAGCTCTAGCATTGAATCATACCCCTAGCCCAGAAAAAGTTTTTTAAGTCTGGGGAAGCTCAGAGGAGAGGTATGTAGCTGTCTTCCTTTATGTGACTAGCTCATATAGTTTATGAGGAAAGGGATGAGGTTCAGTTTTTTTGCAAGTAAAAATATGTTATGACCTAATTCACCTCACTAATGTCACACAAGTCTGTTTCCATAGATAAGAAGCCCTCCTTGGCATGCAGCAGACGTTTTGCAATGTTTAAATAGTCGTGGGTCAAAAAAATATTTTTTTACTCTTTCATCAAAGACATTAAGTCTGCTGTTTACTAAGAGTACAAGGCAGTGAACGTGGTTACTGGTACAGGTAGGAATCCCTGCTGTGATTTGTAGGAGTGTCAGCAGTTTTCCCCACCACTGCTTTTGTATCATCACTGTAAATGCTAATAAAAGAAAATGTATGTATTATGAAAATAATTTTGACCACATAGACTCCCATGGGTGCACCAGAGTACACTTAGTGTACTATAAGGTAGAGTCCTATAAAATACTAAGTACAGATGAATTAGAAAAACGGCACAATATATTTCCACAATTACAAGAATTTCTGTACTCTTTGTCCTAGCAGATATGCTATTACAGTTCCTTGAATCAGCCACCCTAAGCCATCCTGTTGGGAATGTACTTTGAATTTGGACTGAGGCCAGCCTCAGAAATTACCTGAAGCAGAATCATGCATTTAGGATTGAGTTCAATTGAGTTACATGTTGTTGCATCACTTCTGACTTTAGCGTAAACATTTTGTTTAGAAACAGTTGCTACTGTGGCTGGTTGGAATTTCTCTTGTGCTGTCACATGCCATGTAAACTGTAAAATGCACCAAGCATTCAAATTTTCAAGTCTCCCTGTTGAAGTTGTGCTGTCTTGCTGCTTATGTTGACATTAACTAAACAAGGGCCTATTACCAGGGTGCTCCCTGGCATCTTACAGTTCTTAGGGATATATTGAATTTAGAAATCTGTCAGACTCTTCCTGGGCTTTCAAGAAAAATCAGTTTTAGCAAAAAGACAAACTATGCCTTTTGGGAGTTGAGACCTTCTGGTTTATATTCTGGGCAGCTAAGTAATTACTAGAATTTGTTAAGTGAATAACAAAAGAAAAAGAAATGTGCCCTTAAATGATTCTATCATCTAGTTCCTTATGTTCTAGGGAAACACTGGGGATAACAAATTACATTTACTTTACCATAAATTCTTACATGGGCCCATTTCTCCCTTTAAAGTCCAAAAGATCATGAGTTTCAATGACTTCATATTAAAGGAGGGGAAGTAAAGGAATTTTTATAGACTTAAAATCACTGCTGAGAACATTTGGGCAGTGTGGGTTGAGGAAATGAAGATGAAACACTGCACAGATAAGTTATAGCAGCACTATAAGATTTTAACCTTGCAATGTAGAAATCTAGAAAGATAACCATGAGACTTCACTGTGTATGGCTATACAGTGGTCAATTAATAAAGTAGGCAAGGGCTGGGGATTTAGCTCAGTGGTTTCGCTGCCTGCTGCGCAAGCGCAAGGACCCAAGTTCGATCCCCGGTACCCCCCCCCAAATTAAATAATAAATAAATAAAATAGGCTATTGGCCATCCAAAAATAGCAGGGAAACAAACTGCAGTTGAATTCAGTGAGAATGAATTCTTTAACTGTGTCTTCCCAAGGGTCAGCAGCAGTTTCAGGGAAAAGCTAAGGACACACACGAGTCTTAACTGCACAGGGAAATTTGTTATCCCTTTTTAACCTATCATCACCTATTTCTTTCCAGCATTTGTTTCAGCACCCGTTACTTGAACCACTGAGACCATTTAACCAGCAGTATGTATTTAAGCTGCCAACCATATGACAGAACATAGGAATGGATTTTATTTTCATTTCAAGAATATTTAAACTGGGGGCCGGGGATTTAGCTCAGTGGTTCTGCCACCTGCCTTGCAAGCGCAAGGTCCTGAGTTTGATCCCTGGTACAAAAGAAAAAAAAAAAAAAAAAGAATATTTAAATTGGGAGAAGAAATTCAGCTTTTATTGTTAGAATTTGACAGGCTTCAAAAATCTGTGATAGGATCATAAGCATACAAAAGCCCACTTAGTAAAGTTTTAGGTGACCAGTAACTTTGTCAATTAGATCTGCTGGTCCTGGCCCAATTCCTAGGACAGTCTGAGAGCCAGGTTCAATCTGAGTACGTCCAGCATCTTGGATTAAGCTTACAGTCAGTCCTAGCATTTTCGCATGGGTCAGTAATTCAATCAGGGTTTCTTTATCAGGGGCTTTGACCACCACTTTGGGCTGGCCACAATATTCCCACTGCTTGAGCATGTTAGGGTTTCTCTTTTGAATTTGCTTGTAGGCAGAAACAGCAGCATGAGAACACTGGGCAGCGACTTTTCCTTTTCCCATCTTTAAGTCATTTCGAACCACAAGAACCATTTTGTACTCCCCACTCTCTCCCAAGATGCTTGCTTCGGTTTCAGCGTTTGTTTCACTTGTTGAGTTTTTGGGGACCATCCCAAAGCGAACCCGGAGGCCCCAGCCCAGGCACATGCCACAAGCAACTCCAGCAGCCAAGCTGAGTGCACCAGGTTGAGCCAAATACTCCATAATCAGGTACTTGGAGAGCATCTTAAGAGAAAAGAAAACAGTTAATATTGTCTAGCAATGAAAAAAACATAACCTTATCACATAGATAAATACATGAGGTCATCCAGAAGAAAGGCAAAATACACTTTGGATCTTTTCTAGGTACCCTGTTTCAATCCATCTGTGTAACAGAAAAGATTCAAGCATCAACATTGGAACAGTTTAGACCATTTAAACTGATGTGAGTACTCTGGTTCAAAAACTCTTATTTGGTCTTCCCTAAATCTTGTGAAGAAAAGAAATGGTCTGTTTTACCAATATACGTAAAGGATTTAAGGGGAAACCGAAAATAATATCCCTGCAGTGTATCTGTATTTTCACAGTGCACTGGCTCCCTGTCAGTTCCCCAATGTCACAATAATGGGTCTGGGGTGAGATGCACTACTGTCATTTACTAGGCATGAACAAAGGCTAAAAACTTCGCAAAAATGAAGTTATACTACTGGACATTAGTATAGGTGGAAACTATTAATATCTGAACTTAGAGTCCAAATTTACTTTACATATGAACACAGAGTACAGCATTTTTGACATAGTTTTAATAGTTGTTTTAGAAGTATAACTATCATATAAAACAAAGTTAGATCCTTTATCCTTTGTTTTAGAAAATCCTGTTACCCCAGTAAAGCGGTTGTTTATATTTGAGTCACCAATAAAACAGCTATTCAGCCTACATTAAGGCTGTTAGAATTCATAATGCTTCTATGTATAGCTACAAGCGACCATTCACTGCTTTTTCTAGCAGTCTCTAAGCATTTATAAACATGAAGCTATCATACTTCTGTGCTTGAAAGAGAAGTCCATAATTTACATGGCACAGATGACAGTCCTGGAAATACCATAAATTTCCCTTTTATTTTCATTAGGTTAAGGACATATGTCAACATTTTTTAATTCATTTCGTAGATAAGATTATGCAGTATCATTTTCACTTCAGAATATACCAGATCTTGTTTGTTAAAAATATAACTCACGGGCTGGGGATTTAGCTCAGTGGTTCCGCTGCCTGCCTTGCAAGCGCAAGGTCCCGAGTTCGATCCCCAGTACCAACCTCTCCCCCAAATATAATTCATACAACATAAAATCCACCCTTTTAAATTACGCAATTCAGTGGTTTGCAGTATATCCACAAAGTTGTGCTACCGTCACTGCTATTTTTGAAGAACATTTTAGTGCTGCCAAAAAAGTAACCTCATGGGCCCCATTTCCCTCTCTGATAACCATTAATCTACTTTGTGCTTATGGATTTATCTATTCTGAACATTTCACATAGATAGAATCATATAATATGATTTTATTTCAGCTTCTTTAGCATAACTGTTTTTAAAGGTTGAATATAAGTCAAAGTTACAGTTAATTAAAAAAGTAAAATAACCTGGTACCCTCACATCATCTCAAATCCAAACTCTTCCCTTGAAGGTACAAAACCTATTTCCCTGAACCAGCTATTTAATGTTATAAAACTATCTGAGTCCATCCGAATAATTTTCAAACACTTTCTAAAACAACTACCAAAAAACCCTCTGCAATTTGCAATACTTTCTAGAGCTATCTTCTCAAATACTCAACTTCTACAATCAAAGCAGGAAGAACAAGACAATTGGTGGGACAAAGATGGTCAACAACACTTTATCTGAAAAACGTGGTCCACTACTTTTGGCCAAAAAAAGAAAAAAGGATTATTATTTTTGGTGGAACAGAAGCTGGCCTGAAGTAGGATCAAGAACTAGAGGTCAGGCTACCATGGGTTTCCTCACAATAGCCTACCCTGTTTTCTCCAGGATGTTCTTTCATCTTGCTTTATCTTCTTTTATTTGGCCCAAGTCTCCTTTACTCTTCACTTTTACTTTTTCAAATAAATTTTGCCACTGCTTACAAAAGGAAAAGGAAAAGAACAAGAGATGTGGTTCAGGCTGTGTAGTTCAGTGGTAAGGCACTTGGCTAGCATACACAAGGCCCTGGCCCTGGGTCCAATCCCTAGTATCACAGGAAAAAAAAAAGAGAGATAGATGGAAAGGGGACAGCAGAAAGAAAAGGCAACGGATATAAATGAACATGGAGAAGTTTTTTTTCCTTAACCATTATTCTTAATTTGTCTCTCCCCATGGTCTAGATGAGTGGGAATGGAAAAATGGCCAAGGCACATCTTATTTGGTGACTAACTGGAAGTTTGGTGGTAAAAGAAGTTCAGAGTGACACCTAGATGGGAACAAATGGAGAAAGAGATACTATTTGTAGATGAAGAAAAATTTTGGTGAAAATGGCACTTTTGAAAAACAGTGAATTCAGTTTTGGTTTGACTAAGACAAGCCAGTTGAGGTGTCCAGCGAAAAAGAAAACTATGTAACGGGTCAGAAGAATGGACTGGGTTGGAAATACAGATTCGAGAGACCTTAACATATAAATGAAGTTACTGAAGTGAAGAGACCACCTGGGAAAGTGTGGAGAATAAAGAAAAGACTAAAAACCAGGAGGAAATGAATCTTTAGGGATCAAAGGACAGTGACATAAGTGGTCAAAAGTATGAAGGTCACAAACAGTAAGTTGCAGAGCACCTGATTTCAGTCCTCTTTCAATCTGAGTGCCTAATATGGTGACAGGACTGCAATGACACAGTAATTTATGGTTTTAGATATCCAGTAGCCAAAAAAAAAACTGAATAAAAGTTTTCTAAATCTAAATTATTCTATAATGTATCACTGAGATACCACATGATGCTTACCTATCAACAAAACTTCTATTTGATAATTGTTATTTCAACTTTTTGAAATTATTTCCTTTTAAAAAGTATACTAACTTCCATGTCAACAATTAGAGCTGAGTGTGGTAGCACACACCTGTAATCCTAGCATTTTGGGAGGCTGAGGCAAGAGGATCACAAGTTCAAGTACAACCTGGGCAACTTAGTTAGACCCACAATAAAGAAAATAAAAAGGGTGAGGATGTAGCTAGGGTGAAAGCCCTAGGTTCAATCCCAGGACTACCAGAAAAAAACAAAGATTCTCTGTGCAAATTTCTAGGTTGCAAAGTAATCAAATATCCCAAATACCAGGTCGGGGATGTAGCTCAGTGGTGGAGCACTTGGCTAATGTGTACAAGGCCCTGGATTCAATCTCCAGCTGCTGGGGAACTGCCTGTTCAACCTGGAATACTGCCACCCTTGTAGCCAAGGACTTTTGTTTCAAAACAATTTAGCTACCATCTTCATTTAGCATTCATAAATGTTTTCTTGCTACAACTTTCTTAAATATATAATTTCTTATGGCATGCATATTCCTATTGCAATGTTCATTCCCAAATAAACATTAATTTTTGAAGAATCTCTTTATTATTTAGATCCACACAACTATTACTTACTGTTGCTGTGAACATAAAGGGAATGTGACCCTCATTTTAATTTTTTCAATTTTTTTTTTTTTTTTGGTACTGGGGATCGAACTTGGAACCTTGCGCTTGTGAGGCAGGCGCCAGAACCACTGAGCTAAAATCCTCAGCCCGTGACTCTCATTTTAAAGTTGAGAAAAATAAAGATCAGAGAAGCTACTTATCCACAGTAATGTAGTAAGGGTCAGAACTATAAAATATACCCATCTTTTTGTTTTTTGTCAACACACCCATCTTATGGTCATAATAAAAGGCTCTCCTTTTCAACTTCATCAAAAAACACCCATAAGGGAGAAGACAGAGAAGGGTAAAAATTCCAGAAACTTCTAAGCTTTTACTGTTGTTCCACATCTAAATGAGGTCTCTGATTATAAAATCTGATTATTTTAATCTCACGTCAACCTAGTCATCTAACTCCTCCAAAGAGTGTTTCAGTCTTTTGTTCCGCATGTCTACTATCCACACGTTAATAAATCCAGTGCTTGAGACTAGTAATTATTAGTGTTGTGATCTTAAGGAAAGACAGCAGAGTAAAACAATGATGTCCCATAAACCGTCCTCTCGTGCCTTCTAATTACCCTACCTAACACATTTCCTGGTGTTCTTGGTCCCATCGTCTCCTGAGCCGCTCATTAGTACTACTCCACAAGCCACTGTCTCTGCATTTGCCAACCTAAAAAACTTTTCCCAAGTCTTCTCCAACCCTTTAACCCCTGCCTCCCTCTTCCTCTTCCCTTTATCTCCAAAGTTCAGTTACTGACCTGTTTCCTAATCTCTGTGCCTGTGCACCTCTCTTCCCCAGTCCACTAAACCAGTGCTAAGGGCCAAATGGAGGGACTTAGGCCTCATTTGAGTTTTCTACACCAAGCATGCATTACTTGTAAAACATTAAACTTTCCTCCCTTGAATTGTTTAACCCAACTTTCACCCCAATTATCATCCTACTATTATACTTCCATAGCACTTTCCCTTTTACAGCCATGAATATACTTAATGGCAGCAAACTTTTAATTCGCTTCCATATTCTATTAGACAATAGTGTTTTGACATTATAAACACAATTCTACTATCCCTTATCTGATATCCTGAGATTTAAAATCCTGAAGTTCAAAAAGGCTTTAAGGGGGGGGTAGTGTTAGGGATGGAATCCAGAGCCTTGTGCATACTAGCCCAGTGCTCTATCCCTGAGCTACATCTCCAGCCCTCTAAAAGTTCTTTTTATAACTAAAGTTCTTTTATAAAACAGGTGTCAACATGTGTTTGGTGGGAAAATCTAGCCTGAACTGACAAGCTGTTGAGTCTTCCTTTTTCCTCATCCTGTGCAAATATTCATGTTTTACTCTAGGGATATTAAAGTGTTTGCTTATAAGGAGTCGACTTTTACTATCCATCCAATCAATCAACAGACGTTTACTAAGTATTATAGACTGTTGAGTTAGGGAGAAATATTCTAAGCAGTCAGAAATATTCTGTTAAGTTAGGCAGAAATATTCTAAGCAGGCCCTCGAGGGAATCAGTGCAGAGAATGAGAAAACATTACAACTGTGGCTGGAAGGGCATCTCTCCAGGGCCAGGTCTCAAGATAAAGACGGAATGACCAGGTCTAATGTGCCTCCCCACAGGATAAGCAGTAAACTGAAGATTGTACTACAATTGGTATCACCTGGTCCAATAAAGTCTAGATAGACATAGTCACCCAGGTGGGTGACCAGGACCTCCTGATCCACCCCTTTCTAAAGAGGTCCTTGTTTTTACCATGTACACTTGCTACGTGACCTGCTTCCCCATTGGATCAATATTACGTAAGTGGCTATACTTGTCATCTTTTTTTTTGGTATCGGGGATTGAACTCAGGACCTTGCACTTGCCAGGCAGGGGCAGAGTCACTGATCTAAATCCCCAGCCTACTTGTCATCTTATTGGTTGATCATAGTTTCGACACATGTTGTACCCACCTCTATAAAACTTCCTTTGAGAAGTGAGCTCTTTGGCAACCCACTTTCAGGGGTCATCTGTGCCCCCCCCCCAGCTATCTCTCTCAATAAATTTTTTGTACTCTTTACGTCTGTTGTTCCTTAGAATTCATTCTTCAATTTTGGGGAACACAAACTTTGTGTATCTGACATCTACCAGGTTGGAAGTTGTATTTATTCCTCCTATATCACTACCTCATTCACAGCTTTTTTACAGTCTCCTTTGGAGCTCTACATTCTCTGCTGCTGATAAATATACTGAATTATATAATCTTACATATATGGCCTTCTTTTCAGCCTATATCTGACTGTCCAATATAACAGCCGGTTAGCCACATGTGGTTATGTAAACTTAAAATTCAGTTCTTCAGTTGCACTTAGCTACATTTCAACAGCTTAATAACAATTTGAAAGTGGCTAACAGTCACTCGATATTAGACAGTGAGACATAGAATGAATATGTGCATCACTAAAGAAAGTTCTACTGGATCTCACTGGTCTATACTCTCTTTCCAATCAATCAATCATCATTGATGGCTTACTGTGCTTTCCAGGCACTGTTCTGAAGCCTGGACAGAGTACCAAAACAAACAGAAGTCCCATTCCCCACAGGGTTAACATTTAGTGGGAGGAGACAGTCAATACAGTTAAATCACAGAACAATCTCATTTATTCCCAAATCACTGTATGCACAGGGCTCCTAATGTCTCTCTGGCTTCAAACTTAAACCTCCAGTTTCTACTAGATCCCATTTAAGAGGTATATAAAGCATCCTCCTCACCCATCTCTCTGTCTCTCTAGAGCTGGGCGTCAAACCCAGGATCTTGTGCTTTCGAACATTCTTTTTCTGTATTTTTGATTTCTAGGTAAACCTGTACTTTTTCTCCTCCCATGTCCAGTCACCAAATCCTGTTGAATTTATTTGCCTTAAATCTGTCCTGCTATTTCCACTTACAGAGCTCTAATTAACTTGCCAAATGCTTCCCAAGTTAAACTTTCTAACTCTAATCCTTTCCATATTTGCTTCTCTGTTACCCTCGTTTATCCTACCCCTACTGCCATTAAAATTACACTTCTAAAACACATGCTCGAAAATCACCAGGTAAACTCTTGCAGAATAGAACAAAAATCCCTTTCCACAAATTCAAAGCACTACACGATTTGGCAACAGCGTACTCTTTCCTTCTAAATTCCTCTCTTGCTATACACTGTACCATCCAGCCACACCGAATTACTAAGTCCTTTCAAGCGGCAATCTCTCCCTGAAATAATCTAGTCTTTTCCATTTGAACACACAAATAAAACAACCCAGGCACCTGAAAAGGCCCAGCTGAAATGTCACCGTTAAGTCTTTACTATCCCCCGGCGAAGCTTCATTATCTCTTTTTCAAAGCTTCTCTATCTAGCAAGTATTTCCAGTTTCCTCTATCTAGCACAGAGGCTGGTGTGGAGAGAATCAAATGCTTCTCTAGACACTATTTCTTTTTTTTCTTTTTTGGTAGCGGGGATCAAACTCGGGTCCTTGCGCTTGCGAAGCAGGCGGCAGAACCACTGAGCTAAATCCCCGGCCTTCTAGACACTATTTCTATATGACACAGGAGAATTTAACTTCTGATTATATTTTTAGAAATCTTTTCTTTCCACGTAACCCAACAACTTGAAACACATGCTCAATACTCAGCAGACTGGGAGGCCTGCTTGCTCTTTTCTCACATTTGCAGAGTGCACTGATACTGCCTTAATAAAGAGGTTTTGGGAGAAACTAGGAATTCTGGGTCTGACCCCTTCCCAGAAACTTGGTTCCTTTTTCCAAAGAATGGTTTGCAAAACAGGCAAAAGATCCAGCGGCTGCTGGGAGGAAGACAGTTTAACGAGAAGGTGAAGAGGGAGTAGTAGCTACGGAATGAGTCGGGAAGAAACGTTCCAATTGGACCGGGAACATAGAGCTATGTCACTCTCCTTCGCCCTGGAGAGGATTAACCTACCTAGAGTACCTCTGCCTCAGTATTAGCTTCAACTTCACCGCTGGAGAGCCCACACGTTTCTCGGGCGCGAGCTACCTCTTCCGGTGTTCCTGGTAACTACTTCCGGGTCAAGAACTACAAAGCAAGCAGTCATTCTTCCCCCTTGCCACGCCCATAGGATCCGAACTAAGAGTTGAACTGAAATTCTGCGAGGGAGGATCAGCTGAGGTGGCCGAAAGGAGGGGGAAGGTTTCCCTCCTGGAGGCGGTCTCTGCAGGGGGACCTGGCCGGAAGTGACGCTAGCGAGTTCCGGTTGGCCAGAGCCCAGAGGCGGTTGTGATAGTCGGTCGGAGTCGCTTTCAGGATCCTGAGATCCGGAGAAGCCGGGGTCCGAGCGGGTAGGTAAACGAAAGCGGGGAAGTGGGGACAGAAGCTTGAGGCTATCCTCAGACCTTGGCTTCTTTCTGTGTTCTCCCACTTAAGGTATTGCAAATCTGGGGCACGGTGATTTTGACTTCCAGGAGTGTTTTAGGGCTCTGCTGACTCTGGATGTCTCAGCTTAGAGGTAGCCAGGATATTTGGGACACCTCTCCGTCGTTGGTTAACTGGACATCGAACCCAGACATTAGATTCCTTTCCGTTTGCTTTCCTCTCTACGGACTCGGTTTCTATAGCAAGCCCTGTCTTCCCTGGGTGTCCGGGACCTTGGAGCAGATGAAGAAGGTCTTCCCTGCTGATGAGCGAGCTGTTGCAGGATCTTTCAGTTTGATTCTTGTCCTCCCCAACCACTAGCGCATGATGATAAATGTATCCGCTTCTAAAAAACCTAAGCGTGTAAGTGCCATACAAAGACCTGGTGGTCGAGTGGTCAAGGGAATGGGCCTGCGCTTCAGAGAGACTTTGCCGAGGACCTCGGATCTCCCACTACTTTCATGAAAAATACAGTTCTCTGCCTTTTCAAAATCCTTAGTTCCAATGTTTGTATTCCCTAACATTGAAAAGTATTGGCAGTAATACAGGAAGGTCAGCTTAATCTTTAAAACTCCAAGAAGCCATAAATGGCCCCGTGACACACTGCTAGGTTATTTAATGATCTCCAGGGCGGGCATGGTGGTGCACCCCTGTAATCCTAGCACTGGGAGGCTGAGGCAGGAGGGTCGCCATGAGTTCGAGGCCAATCTGGGCTACATAGTGAGTTCAAGGCCAGCCTGAACTGCATGGTGAAACCTTGTATCCAAAAAAAAAAACAAAACAAAAACCCTTAATGACCTCTACTAGATTTTACACAATCATCTGGTTCTCTGAAACTCTGCTCAAAAAATCTGATATATAGACTGGACCTATTTATGTATCTTGGCAACATCGCTTCTTATCCTGTCTTTCATACCTCCTTTGATGCTTGTCAGAGATTATGTAAACAGATTCCATTGGTCATTTGGAAAAGCCTGAACAAGTATTTCTAGTGTTGTAATGATGGAGAATTTAATATTCTGACTGCTACCACCTATTAATTGTATTGTCATTAGCTCTGATTTTAGTTGTGTATTCTTAGCAAAAATGATAGGAAGAAACTATTACTAGGCAGCATTATATGTGTTCTAAATTGTTTTCATTGACCTTTGGAAGAGAGAGGGTGGTACCCATACAAATGGGACCAATTTACGTAGATGTGAAATGACACAAAAGTAAAAATTTTCATATTTTAGTTATTTTGCCTACTTGTGGGGACAGGGAGTACTCAGGATTGAACTCAGGGTATCACTAAGCTACATCCCCAGCCCTTCTTTATTTTTGTGACAGGTCTGACCAAGGTGCCCAGGCTGGCCTTGAACTTGTGATTCTCCTGCATCAGCCTCCCAAGTAGCTGGGATTACACCTGTGATGCACCACACCCACTGGGAACCTGCATTATTTGAAAGCACTGAAACTTTTTTAAAAAGGATATATTCAGTGAGGTGTGGTGACACAGGCCTGTAATCCCAGCACTTGGGAGGCTGAGGCAGGATCACCATGAGCTTGAGGCCAGCCTGGGCTACTTAGTGAGTTCAAGGCCAACCTGAACTACATAGCAAGACCCTATCTCACCCGCCCCCCCAAGGGTATGTTCTATGTGAATATACATGATCAATACAGTTAAATTCCTGTGCTCACCTTCCAGAAGAAAATATACATATAACTAGGTTTCTGAAATATTTCAATAAATGGTTCGATGCCATTTAACACTTTACCTACAGCTAGTTTAAGCAGTCTTGTTTTTTATTTCTTCACTTCTTTTTTTTTTAGTGCATATAGGCTGTACAGATTAGTGGGTTTCATTTTGGCAGATTCATACATATACATAATATGCTTTAATCATCATCCCCCCACACACCACTACCACCACCTTTGCCCTGTGTTTCCTCCAGTTTCGTATTTTGGGGGAGGTTTCAGTGCAAACAATATACTTTGATCATATCCATCCCCCCATTACCTGCCCTTACACTCCCATCCCCCCTTATTCCCTTCCTCTTGTCTAATTATAGTTTCCCTTCTTTCTTGTCATCTTTTTTAGATTCTACATGTTAGGGAGAACATGCAATATTTGTCTTTCAGTCTGTTGTTTAATTCATACATTGTTCTTATTTTTGAGTTAACCAAGAATTTTCACATTTGTCTTTGAAATGAGGTGACAAGTTTTTTGACAGGTAAAATTATAAAAGATTTATCATTAACACTGAGTAAATTTGCTTATTGATTATATAAATCCCAAATGGTTTTTATATTCTTTTTTTAAATTTATTTTTTTATTTTTTTATTTTTTGGTACCGGGGATTGAACTCGGGTCCTTGCGCTTGTGTAGCAGGCAGTGAAACCACTGAGCTAAATCCCCGGCTCTGTTTTCATATTCTTCTTGTTCAATTCAGTTACCCAGGGACTGATTATCCTACGCCACTCTAGGATTTTGAAGATCATTAAACTTTCAATCAGAGGACCTGGATTGAATTCTGGGCTCCAGCACTAATTGAGTAATGGTTGACAGATTGCTTGACATTCTGAGCTGGACTGGATTGTGTTGATAAAAGGCTGTCACAGATTTAGTAAGGTAATAAATGGGAAATCACTCTATGAAGTAAAAATATGTTGATACTGTCATTTCACTCTGACACCTGGAAATATTATCAGTATAGAATACTGTAACATTGCATCATTTCACGATTTGATCATTTATATTGTGTATCCTTTTATCTGAAAATATCACATATTTCTGAGATGATCTTTGTCCCACTTTTTTGTTGTTTGTTTTTTTTTGAGAACAGGGTCTCACTATGTAGTTCAGGCTGGCCTTGAACTTTTACTATGGAGCCTCGGCTGGCCTGGAATTCATCAGTCTTCCTGCCTCTGTCTCCCTAGTGCTGAGATTACAGGAATGTACCACCACGCCCCGCTTCTTTGTCCTACTTTTGAACACGGTAAAGCTGGCCAAGAATGGTTTGATACTCTGATCCATTGAATTAGTCATCTGGGTTAATCAGTAGGTGGCTGGAAGATGAATATAGTTTTCATTTGGAAGTTTAAATCCGATCTTTTTTAGTCATCATGTCTTATCACTTGAGACTTTCCAAGTGCAGAAAAATACTGAAGCTTTAGGTGCTTATATACAGAGTCTGCCAAAAACATGTATACACACTTCAGGAAAAGAAAAGCCTGTATAAATATTTTACTACTAAATTTATTGAGACATCATGAGATTAATACAAGTTATCTTTGGCCTCTACAATTACAAGAGTTGCTCAAAGTAGTAGGCATTAGCTTCCAGATATTTATTAGTACAGCGAACTGCTGCTTGGATTACCTTGGCCACTGAGATTGCTGCACATGCTTTTTCAGTTTCTTCTCTAAGGGCCTGCAGTGTAATGGGTTTTCTGCAATGTACAACAGTCCTCTAGGGTCCCCCTATGAGAGTAATACCATGTGTTGAAAAACATACTATTTTTCTTTTCCTGAAATATATATACCTTTTTAGGCAGACTCTGTATTATTAACTAAAGGTTAGAAGTAGTTACTTATATTAAGTAAGAAACATTATTTTACTGAAACTAATATTTAGAATTAGAAGGAACCTCTGTGAACATACAGTCTTTTCATTTAATAGAAGAGAAAATTATGGCCCAGAAACAGTTAGTAATTGGCTTGCTGGAGGTCATCTGGCATGGGTAATGCTGAACCTGAACTGAACTTAAGGTCCTAGATGTTCTTTCTGCTCTGCTAAGGTTGTCCCTAAGCATTTTGATACGGTTTGGTAATATGTCTTGGTTTGTATGCAGAAATACTTAATGTATTAAAGGAGTACAGGCTCAGTAAACACAAACTCTTCTTCCTTTTTAGCTTGTATAGTTTTCTAAATTGTAGGAAAGCAAAAGGTCCTTGGGAGGGCCGGGGATTTAGCTCAGTGGTTCCGCTGCCTGACTCGCACGCTTAAGGACCCGAGTTTGATCTCCGGTACCAAAAAAAAAAAGTCCTTGGGAGATTTGCAGTGGAGTGGATTAAAGAAAGAAAATTACTTATGTTCTTCAGAACAGTTATTCTGAGTTTGTGCTTGATTGGTGTCAGAGTTTGAAAAGTCTTCTTTCTGGCAAGTGGAAATGACAGGATCCTTATAAAACATTAGTGAATGCTGCTAATTGGTAAAGTGAGCTGTATTAATTTCTTTGCCTCCTAATTGAAAATATTTCCCCATACTGTTATAGTTTTAATATTCCAGTTACCTTTTGCTTATAGAATCATTTCTCTAGCTATTTCATTGTAGGTATAAAGCCATTGTAGAAGAGTAAGTTCATTGTCTTGTTGGGAACTCTTTTTTGAGTTTCATTGATTTCACAAAACCTGTTTAGTCTGTGTTTTTTTTTGGAGATGATGATGATGCATCTGTTCCAAAGTCCCCCTTGTGCTATCCCTTTTTAGTGTGAAAATGAACTCTAGATAAGCGAATATTGACAAACAAGATGAATCGAGGACTTTGTCATAGTTATGTTAGTTGATAATCTGCTTTTACAAAGATGTACAAATATTTTTGAGAGTAAACTTTTTTTTGGTGTTGGGCAGTTAAAACTAGGGCCTTGTACATACTAAGCATGGGCTGTACCATTGAGCTACACTTCCAGCCCTCAGTGTAACTCCCCCCAGTGGTGGTGCTGAAGATTGAACCAAGGGCCTTGGACAAGTAAATCTATTTATTTATTTATTTTTGTGTGTTTGAGACAGGGTCTCACTATGTAGTTCAGGCTGACCTTAAACTCAGTATGTAGTCCAGGGTGGCCTCAAACTTATGGGATCCCCCTGCCTCAGCCTCCTGAGTGCTGAGATTACAGGCTTGAGCTACTTCCCCTAGCTTTAAACTTTTAAAGAGCATATTGCTTCAGGTAATACTTTATTTTAAGTAAGGGCAATCATTGAGTAATCCTGTGCTAGCAAATCTGCCTATAATTGCTACCAGTCTGTTAATGTTCCTTATCTTTTCACTAGATTATTGTGTTTTCTATTGTTCTTTGGATTCTGTTACAAAAATTTTGGTCTTCATGGATTATATGAAAGGACTGAATAGATTAGTGTTAAAAGGTTGTGCCGTGACATATTGGTTCAAATTTCAGCTTACTGTGTGGTTCCTGAGCTGGTTACTTAACCTCTTGGTATCTCAGTTTCCTCCTGGACAGTGAAGTCAGGGCCTTTATTGTTAGGTTTAAATGAATAGATTTAAGTAAAGCATTTGGTATTGTGCTGACCATAATGTTAGTCATGACTGTGATTATCAGGTAGCCCCTGAGCTATTGCTAGGAAGTCCTTCTGGTTCTCTTTTGAAAGTATGTCCTCCTTTTCGTGCTTATTTTTTTTCCTGCTTACTTATTAATGAGGTTTCAGTAAACAAATATCTCTGAGTATACATTTCATTTTGTGAATATTTTACAAGACATGAGATTCTCAACCAAAGAAAACATTCTAACAGTTTACAGTATCTTTATAAGCTATAACCCAGAATTTGGTAATTGAAACAAACTGTTCTTTTGATAGTTAATGCTATCTTCTAGCCTTAACTTCTTTGCAAGGAAATATCATTTTCCAGTGACATCTGTTGTCTTAACTGCCTCCAGTCAGTGAACAGACATCTTGTGCCCTAGATCATTTACTAAGTTCTGGGAAAACAGTGGGAAATAAGTATTATAAGGAAACAAACAGGTCTGAAAGAAAGTTATCAGTATGGATATGTGCCTCTTGGGGACTACAGTACAAGTGGTCTTGGAATATGATGCTATAAAGTGAGCTAGGAAGCCAGGCATGGTGGCTCAAGCCTGTAATCCTAGCACTCTGGGAGGCTGAGGCGGGATAGCAAGTTCCAGCCCAAGTTCCATTAACTTTGTGACTTAATGAGATCTTGTCTCAAAAAACAAATTTAAATTAAAAAGGGCTGGAGATGTAGCTCAGTGTGAAGGCCCTGGGTTCAATCCCCAATATCACCACCACCACCACCACCAAAAAAAAAAATGTGGTACAAAAACTGTGCAGAGTCCAGGACATGTAGTGCTTTCTATGTCATAAAAATAGATTTGCCTTTGATTTTGGGTATAATAGGAAGTCATTCTGCAATTTTAAGTAAAGGGGTACTAGGATTTATAATATGATCATGTGTGCTCATGTGTGGAAGATGAATTGGAGAGGACGAGAATAGAAATGGGGAGAGAAATTAGGAGTTCATTGCTGTTGTTCCAGTGGGAGATGAAGATGGAGAGCAGTGTGTGACAATATATTTGAAATAGGACTTGGTCCTAGATTAGCTGAGTGTAAGGAAGAGGGGAATCAAGAATGACTAAGCTTCTGGATTTAGTAACCTGGTAGGTGGTTGTGCCAGGTACTGGAAAAGGGAAGGTTTGGAGAGGACCAGGTTGGTTTGTTATTCTAAGGTGGGTAGGTATGAGGAGAAAAGGGTGTGTGGTTTTTTTTTTAAACATTAAGTTTTATTTTAAAAAATGTTTAGGGGCCGGGGATTTAGCTCAGTGGTTCCGCAGTTCGATCCCCCATACCAAAAAAAAAAGTTTTAGAGAAAGGGTATGTTGAATTCAAGATGTTTAGGAATCACCCTAGTGGTGCTATTACATATATAAATCTGGATCAGGAGAGAAATAGAAATTCAGGATTATAATTTAAACCATGGAACCAGATGAGTCACTTGGGAAGAAGGGGAAGAAGAGAGGGTTTAGGTAAAGTAAAGGAGAAAGATTTGAGGAAGGAGACTTAAGTAGCATTTGAAAAAGAGTGGTCAGGTACACAGAAACAAATAAAAGTAGCTCTACAAGGTCTGATCAAAAATGTGAGTTCCTCGGTACCAAAGAACCAAAAAACCCCCCCACAAATATTGTGAGAGTTCTGATTTAAAATTTTTACTATGGTAAAAGACAGAACCATTAATCCCCCACAAATTACTTCCCCTTGCTTTGTTTTTGTTTTTGTTTTTTGGTACCCGGGGCACTCCTTCCATGGTGGAACCACTGAGCTAAATCCCTGGCCCTCTAGCTTTGAACATACTTATCCTAGCATTCTTGCTGATTTCTGAAGCACTTCTGGAAGAGTTCTTTCTAGTCTTTACAAGATATGATCAAAAATATGATGGGCTGAGTGTGGTGGCACACACCTATAATCCCAGCACTCAGGAACCTGAAGCAGGAGGATCTCTGTTGGAGGCTGCCTGGGATACTTAGTGAATTCAAGGCCAGTCTTAACTATGTACCAGGACCCTGGCTCAAAAAGAAAACAAAAACAAAAACATTATAGTGTATCCTCATTCACCTTATTCACTGATCTGGCACCATGTGACTTATGGCTAGTCCCTAAAGCCAAAATAACTGAAAAGCAAGCATTTTGAATGATTCATCAGGGTAGCCATAACAGGGCAAGTAAAGACACAAAAAAGCACTTCCAGAACTGCTTCAGAAAGTGGCAAAAACAATGGGATAAGTGTGTTTGAAGAAAGGGAGGAGGGGTGGGGAGTTTGAGGGCAATTAATGGCAAAATGTCTTTTACTTCAATAATTTTTCTTTTAAATTAGAGACAGTACAAAGCAGTTAAGGGACAGAAGAGAGCAAGGATTTTTGTTTGTTTGTTTTTAAAGCACATGAAAGTTTTTACTTATAAGAAACGATCAGTTTTGTCAAATACTGATGTCTGGTCTAGATTAAAACAAAATAAAGTTTAAGCAGGGCATGGTGTTACATGCCTGTAATCTCAGCATTCTGGGATGCTGAGGCAGGAGGATCACAGTTTTGAGCCTTGCTTAGGCAACTTACTGACTTGCCAAGACCCTGTCTCAAAATAAAAAATAAAAAAAGGACTGGGGATGTAGTTCAGTGTGAAGGCTGTGAGTTCAACTCCCAGTGCCATGGGGGAAAAAATGATTCAGTACAATTAAGTTGGTTGATCTGGT